GCTGCCAACTCTTGTTTTATAGTATTACTGTCTTAATATTTTATTTTTTTTTTTCACAAGACGACGCGAGACGTTACAATTAATTTAAAATTGAACTGTTTAAGCCGTTTATTCTAAATTTATACAAAGCATAACTATTAAAAGTTTTTGGTAAAAATCTGCTTATTTTTTCATTTCACATTTATGGGTTTGACAAAATTGTCAACATTGGACGTCATTAATGTAGTGACTTTTATTTTTGATCATAAACATTTGCACTGGTACTTGTAACCTTGTTTGAAAATAAACGATTTATCATTAGAACTTTTATAATATTTATTCCAATAATGTACTAATAAAAATTAATAAATCTTTTATCTGTACTTACAAGATCTCATTCTTGAAATTAAATATGAGAAACATATTTTTTTCTCTGTCATTTTAATCAAATCAAATTTTAACAATTTAAAAGAATATAAACTGATTAAAAATGTCTCAGTCAATCGTTATTTTAGAAATCACAAAAAGAAAAGAAATCTTTAATATGAATACAAGTATATATTTACAGTGACTCGGTGGAAACATAGATGCCCATAGATAATGTGTTATTATAATTGAGTTTTCGTTATCACTTATAGTTGTTCACACCTTAATTATATTTAACCACATTGGTAATGAGTATGTTTTTCGATCACACTTGAATATATGGTTCGTCCTATTCATGCATATATTATCTACGAGTTGTTCTATGAACGTGATAAGAAATTTTATGACGCTTTATCGATAACCAGCTGGTTTTAAATCTAATATTTTTGATCGAACTAAATTTATAATTTATGCATAATAACTATAGAAATTTTAATTTTAACATTATTATAATAAAAATAATGAGCTGATACTAGGGACGGGTGCAGCCACTGTTATAGATGGAAAGTGTGGAAGGAAGGATACATAAGGTGATTATATTTATATCTGTAAGCAATAATGAACCATTGTTGACGAAAGAAGATTCCGAGCGCAGTTCAGTAATAAATAATTTCAAATCACGTAATTTTTTTTTCGTTTAAATTTGATTTCAAAACGCTTAAAAAAAAAAAATTCAACAAAAATATGGTCTCATGTCATTTTTAAATTGGAGCCATATTTGTGCTAGAAAATGCGGTAGGTACTTATTTAAAATAACGAAATCGTGAAAAAAATGGTTTTTTTCCCTGGTTAATCATTTTGATTTTGAATGCCGTTTCGGAAATCAAAAATAATCTATGAATTTACCAAGTAAATACAGAAAAGGTGCTACAATTATGCATCGGAGCAAGTTTTCTAGGATATAAGTGGTCAACATTAAAAAAAAAAAATAAAGTACCATTGTAAAAAAAGAAAAAAAAGTAGTCTATGAATTGTAACACGTCTAAATAAACCAAATGTAAGTATTATTACCAAGTTTCTAGTCAAAAAACTACCAAAACCTCTCATAAATTAATGTTCCTTAAGAGCTCAAAAGTAGTTTAAAAGTTTGGCGATAATACCGTAAGAAAGTAAATCAAAATATCAACAAATAAGGTATCTTGTGATTTTTCAAAAAAATCGATTTGTCTGGTTTAAAATGTCGTCCGTGTTTTTATGAAATAATGAAATCGTGAAATTATACATTTGCATACGTTTTTCCACCTAAGTGCTTTTATTTACAAAATGGCGTCAAAAATCAAAAAAATGACTTCCTAAAAGTATAATATAGACAAACTGAGCTTTCAGAATAGGTGCTATACGTAAAAATCGAAGTAAAATTAGTTTACTAGAAAAATTCATGTCTACAGTCTAGAACAATGAAGAAAAAAAAATAAATATCTTAATAAAAACAAAAGCTCCCTAGATACGCTCGGAACCTAAAAGAAAGAAAAATAAACATAATTGTAAAACTAATAGATACCTCGCTACGCTAGGAATCTAAGAGATAGATATACTTCGTACGAAGGGTGGACCAATGTTATAAGTAAGAAGTTGAGAATAGAGGGGAATTTAGTTTATAGTTGTAGGTCCACAACGATTAATTTTTGCTAATAAAAAACGATTCAGCGCGAAGTTTGGTTATGCGTGTTTAGAAAGGCCGTAATTTACGATTTTTGTTAAAAATAGATATTAAAATACTTAAAAAAAAAAAAATATGCATTAAATTAAATTACATTTTTTCTAAAACCTCAAAATATGACTTATAATGAATTACTTATTAAATTTTTAAGCACTTTTGTTTAGACTAACAATTTTATCTATAGAGTACGTACCGAATAATAATTATGTAAAAAACTAGCAAAATAAAACTGTCTATAAATACTTAGCACAAACGTTTTAAAAATGTTATAACGTCTAGAAAAGACAAATTTAAGTATTATATATACATAATATTAACACATATTTTTTAAAAAAAGTAAAGATTTATATCAGAAATTGGATCATAATATTATTAATAAATGTATTTAATTGTTTCACTATTTTGCATAGAACAATTTTGTATACAGAAAAATATTGCAGAATACTGGCCACCCTGTGTATCTAGGTGTCACATTAAATAGAACGCTGATATACACATTTTTACATTATTTAAATTAATAATTGTTATTACGCCATGGTGAAATTTTAAGTGAGAGTCTCGGGGTAGAAGGTTTAAACTTGTAATGAGACAAATTTACATCAACGTACTGCGGTTAGCGCTCGCGAAACAGAGTGTATTTTGTAACTTGCCATGCGGCGACGGCACGTAATCAAAAACCACACCAATAGAGAGCGCCCCATCACCGCGATTTAAGATCTGATTGCGTTACATGCGTTTAAACGGGCGTACTACTTTATCCACGACGTGGTCACGGGCATATAAGAGGACTCGTCGTGAATGTTGCGGTTTGGAATAGTGTTAAAAATTATCGTTTCTGTTGTTGAATTCATTTCGATCGATACAGTTACAACACAAGTACCAAATACTCGTTACACATTGGTATATTCTTTATTTAGTTACATTTGTTCTCTGACTCGTATTGTTTTGATCCGCGTGAAACGATCAAAATACTTAATGTATTCAAATGTGTACTCGTTCTTGCTATGGATATTTATGAACGAATATGCTTCGTACTTCGTAGGCCTTTTATACGACATTATAATATAAATAATAAATATACATTTGAAATGCCTAATCATAAATTACTACAGTTTTAATATTATTTCAATCGGTATAATTACTATAAAGTACCGATTCAAAAAAAAAAAAAAACATTTATTTTCAGCAAAAATAATTATAAAAATACAAATATAAAAAAAACCATTGGCAATTTTGTTATATTGCACTTTATCCTCAAATAAAAAAAAAATAACAATAAAATAAATTTGAAACTTTTAAAATTAACTTAAGTACTTGCCTAAACCTAAAATAATTATATGGATTAAAATTTAAAATATAATAATAGTATTTAATAAATACTGTTTAAAAATATTAACATTTCCGTATTTTTTGTTGACAACCCATTACGTCTTTCGGAAATGATGTAGCCAACTTTTGAAAACGTCCTTTCACTCAGGACTGATGTAGAAGGTACACACAAAAGCAATAACATTAAATCAAATAAATTTGGATACATTTTTTTTCCGTCATTCCACCATTTAAGGGGATCTGATTTTCGGTCTAATATAGATTCGTTCAAATATCTATCTAACTCAACTATAGCTTCAGATGTTGGCGTGTTGACTGAAGTTGAAGTTGACACCTAAAAATCATTAACTAATAATTATATAAACTACTTAAATATCAATGATAATATAATTTATGTACCTGAGAGTCATAATGTTGCTAAATTTCAGAAGTTGCTTTTTCACGGTATGGTTTTTTTTTTCATTTTCTGCTGGATTCTAGTTTAAACGAATAATTCCTGCAACCTTTTGTTTTATTTTTTCATTAGTTTTTTGATATGTATGATGTTTTTTTTAAAAAAGTGGATCTAAAATGGTTGCTTTTGTTAAAATAGGCTGGTTTTCAATATTTTAAAATTTAGCATTGGCTTTTGTTAACATTTTAGAAAGCATCAAATTATTGTATATAAGTTATAATATACTTATCTATAATTATATATAAGTATATGGTAAATTTGGTTCTTTTTCTTTAGTTTTTTATGTGAATGCTTTAATTAAAATTATGACTTTTGAAATCGAAATGCCTTTTCTCTACTTAGTTTGACAGTTACTTCTTTGAAAGGTTTAAATATCACACAGTAGTGTTTTATTATTTCAAAGTTTTCGTGTACTAAACTATCCATATTACCTATAATAGCAATTGTACTCATAAGAGGTTTTTTTATATCCATACACCGTTGAAATATGTCATACGTGGAATTCCATCTCGTACACACATCTTGAATCAATTTTGATTCCGGGTACCCCATTTGTTTTTGTGCATTTTTAAATTTTAAATTTGCTTTTGTACTTCATTTAAAATACTCAACGATGGTTTTTACTTTTTTGTGAACAATTTTTATTTCACCTAGTCCGGATTGCAATTAAATTTGATGTGTGCGCTAAATAGGGGATATGGCGCCAATTTTGATTCATGCCTATTGCTGATGTTATATTCGTAGAATTGTCAGTCACAGCAACTTTTACTTTTTCTATTATATTTCACTCTTTAAAACAATTATTTAAAAATAATTACAAATTTACTGCTGTGTGGGATTTAACCACGTTAAAACATCCATGTAAAAAGGTTTTTAAAATGCACTCTTTTGGATCTATAAAGTGTACAGTTACAGCAATAAAGCTATCATTATTTAAGGAAGTCCAGCTGTTGGAGCCGAAAGCGAACAATAATTGGTCGCGTGCCCGGTACCTAAATAGCCATATACCGACCGACCAGCTTTGTGAAGGTATATGTAGCACTCGACAGGGAGTGGACAGGTTCGCCGAGCAAACCCTGCGAGGCTAGTGTGTGACTATGTGCGAATGTGTTTATGTGTTGTGTGTGTTTGTGTGGGAACTTAAAATTACTAAAAATGGTAACAACATTGAAAAGGGGTAACTAAGACAAATAAATAATAATAAATAGGGTAACTATTTATTATTATTTAAATATTCTTTAAATATACAAAACATCATATAAATAAAGAAATATATCTACTCCTTTAAGCCGAAGCTTGTGCTGGAGTAGATAGTTAACAATAGTAATATTATTTGATAAGTAAAATAAAACAAAAATAAATATAAATCTAATACATCATGTACATCAAACAAAATTAGATACATGCGATTGGTTAGTTATACATTTGTACAGAATAAATAATATAAAATGGTAATGGTAAAATGGTAAAATATACTATGGTTGCTGTGTATTTGAAATAATATCAATATGATTAATGCGGCCCTTCTGGCCCAACAATATAATAATAATAATAACAATAGTAATAAATAATAGGAAAAATCACAGCAACACGGAGAAAAAATAGGGTAAACACCAATAATAATAATAACAAATTATGAAATTCACCGTTACGTGGAGAGTAACTGGCCAGCTGCTCCGCCACCTAAACCTAAATATAAACAATAACCTAAGTACAAATATCGGCTCTTAGACCACACAAAAAAACTGAATATAAATCAAATCGCCCAATATTATCGGCGATTAGCGCGCGCTGCTCAATATTCTGTGGCGATTCGCGCCACGCGAAATAAGGAATAAGGCGAATTAAAATATATAAACAAAAGGTAACAAAATATGGTAAAACTAGAAAACGTATCCACAACGGTATCGTGTTAGCATGGCGGACGGTAATGGAGAGCGAGAGAGGCGGGCGGCCGTACGTCTACCGCTCGGTCAGACGGCGGCCGGCGATAAGATCATACAAATAAGCTAAATAAAAAACAGTTATTCATTTTTAACGACAAAATGTGTGCGTGCGCCAACATCCTTCCCCCCGTTGAACTCTCAAAGTTCAACTGTATCCTGATCCGTCTTGGACGGCAGCACGCAAAGCTTCGCCACTGGTCGTCTCATTTCTGCTCCAGACGCCAAACGGACTGTAGCAACCCTTACATATCCATCACTGCCCGGATGTAGATTAATCACCCTTCCCAATTTCCATTTTGTTGGTGGCGTACACTCATCCTTGACAATCACCACGTCATCCATTTCCAATTGTCGCTTCCTCGTTAACCATTTCCCTTTAATTTGGCATTGCGGCAAATACTCAGCATGCCATCTGCGCCAAAATGTTTGAAGCATGTGCTGCACATGTTTCCAGCGCCGTAGACTTTCTGGTGCCTTCTGTGAAATATCTGGTTCCACTGGTAGGTTCAATGGGCCACCAACTAAAAAATGTGCTGGTGTGAGCGCTTCGAATTCGTATGGCTACTCATTGGTGTCATGGGTCTCGAATTAGGACAAGCCTCGACCTGACATACCAACGTACCTAGCTCCGCTAATGTAAGCCTTGTTTCTCCCATAACACGTTTGAAATGATGCTTAGCGCTCTTCACTACTGCTTCCCATAATCCACCAAAATGGGGACCGGCAGGCGGATTGAATCACTACTCAATTCCTTCACGTGCCATTTCCGGACCACCCTTGACTATGAATGCATTGAGTTCCCTTTGAGCACCCATGAAATTTGTCCCATTATCGCTGTAGATCACCGAGAAATGTCCCCTTCGCGCCATAAATCTTCTTAGGCAGGCTAAAAAGGCACTGCTCGTCATGTCTTCCACGACATCTAAGTGCACAGTTCTTGTTGAAAGACAAAGGAAAACTGATAACCATGCTTTTTTCCCGACCACACGGCGAACACTACTTCGAACAATGAAAGGACCGGCAAAATCTACTCCAGTGACCGCGAAGGGCCGTGAATATTGTACCCGATGTTTAGGAAGATGCGCCATGAGTGGACATTCAAAACTTGGTTTTGCGTGTACGCATCTCACACACTTTCGAACTACTGCCCGGGCCATCACCCGACTGATCAAAGGCCAATAGTGCGTCGTCTTATCTGTGCCAAAATGCTTGCGGCCCGCAGTGAAGCATTTCCCGGTGGCAGTTCTCAAAAATGAGGCGAGTCAATCTGTGACCCAAAGGAAGGACAATCGGGTGCTTTATTTATAGTGGAGCTACCCTGGTCTTTGAACATAGGAGTCTTACATGCCAACTATCACCCTTGCTTCTGGATCGTACGTAAATGCAAGCTCCATAAGCCTCTTGAGAAGCGTCACTAAAACCATGTATCTGTATCTCCTCACCTGCTTCTGGGAGCGCCTTCCTTGGAACGAGTACATTTTGTAGCAGCTCCAAATCCTGAACAAATAACCTCCATCGCTCCTGGATGTCCTTAGATAGAAGACTATCACAATCCGTCTTCATAGCCCATATCTGCTGTAAGAATATTTTTCCTTTTAAGAGAATCGGAGAAACAAGGCCCAATGGATCAAACACCTTGTTGAGATTGGATAGCAGTGCTCTTTTGGTCAGCCTTGAACGAATCGGCATGGGCGTGACAGTAAACGTAAACTCGTCAGGCACCGGCTTCCAGCACAACCCGAGAGACTTGACCATCTCTTCGTCCCCTAATTCCAATGTGAACAGCGGGTCCCTCACATCCTTACCAATATGCTCCAACACCAAGGCTGAATTCGAACACCACTTACGTAAAGGCAACCTCGCTGAATTTAAAATCTCCGTTATTTCATGATAGAGACGAATACATTCTTCTTGAGTCTCACCACCTGTCATCAGATCATCCATGTAGAAGTCCCTGGCAATAGCATTTGATGCACAGGGAAACTCGTCTGAAGACTGTCGTGCCAATGCCACCAAACATTGCGTCGACATGAACGAAGCTGGTGTAGTTCCATACGTCACAGTGACCAGTTGATATGTACGAAGAATCTCACTAGCATTCTTCTCACGCCAGAGTATTCGTTGCAAATCCCAATCCTGCTCAGCCTGCTCATCTTCTCAATATCTGACGTAATCACGTACTGATGCTTCCGAAACCTTGTTAAAATTGAAACTATATCCTCCTGGGTTTTCGGTCTACGCATTAATACTTCATTAAGTGAGAGACCTGACGAGGTCTTTGCTGATGCGTCAAAGACGATGCGAACCTTTGTCGTTAAACTTGACTTCTTGAACACTGCGTGATGTGGTAAATAGCATGAACGCTTAGGTATAATTATTTCCTGCTGAACTTCTCTCATGTGACCCATCCGTAAGTATTCATCCATGAACTTCTTGTATTCCTCTCTTAAGGTTGCATCCTGCTGTAATTTNAGGCTTAATAGGCAACTGTAACACAAATCGACTATCCACCTGTCGGCTCACCGTAGCTTCAAAATGCTTAAGTGCTCTTTTCCGCGAAACTTACGTTTGCCTTGGATGACTTGCCGTACGTGGTATCATCGTTGCTGAGACTCGTCTTCCAATCTTCTTCCATTGTTTCACCGATACTCAACAAACAGGTGTTGCTCATTTCGCCTGTGACTAACCATCCTATAGTCTGTCCCAGGAGAGAACGGTCCGTTCTCCGACCAAGTTGAAGCGCTACTGCGCATCTCCACGCCGCAACACTATCCATTTATCCCCTCCCGGATTTATCGACAGCGCAGCAACGGCGACCGAAGAAGTGGTGCTGTTTGAGAATTGTTGAGTGTCGATAGTCCACTGTTTATGGCCAATTGCCAATTGCCCAAATTTTGGGAGATCGATTTCGTGGTAGAAGAGGTGATGGAAAATTACAATGCAACTGTGATGACAATAACGGGTGACATATCATCGTCAGAATCTGAGTCGGAACCAGAACAAGAGAGGACAACGGAATGAAAAAAAATTATGTAAATTTAACGAATAATTAGTATTATAAATTTGTAATTTTATCAAAAATAAAATAAAATGTAAATATGACAAAAATGATAAATTGTAATTTTAACGAAAAAAAAAATGAAATGTTTTAATATAATTATTTATTATTTATTAAATATATATCTCTGTTACATACCTACAGTGTTCAATAAGATATTAAATAAATAAACATGTATACAAAAAAAACAAAGTCTGGATTATTATAGAAGGTGCTTGTATATACGATAGTTTACGATTTGAAAAATTATCAAGAGGTTATAAAACAGCAAAGGTAAATAAACGTGAGATGCGCGATGTCTGACAATAATAACAATTGAATTTCTACAAAATATCCTAGCGGTGTATAGTCAAAAACCGACGACGGAAGAAATGACAATCGGCTGCCTTCGCTGAAATCAAGTAATGTGGAGGGAGAAAACATGCGCACAAGCGGACCGTTCTCTCCTGGGACAGACTATAGCTTGCTATCTTGAAGATATAATGTTCGCACATCCAGCTGCACACGCTCTGGCTGCAAAATGTCAAAGAATGCACCACCGCCAATCAGCAAGTCAATTTGTTTAGACTCGTGGAAGCGAGGGTCTGCCAAACATGGCAGCAGTTCGTTTGGAATGGTCCAGCCCACATCCGGGGTACGCACTGGAGGTAATTTCGACATAATAGCTTTTTTTTTTTTTTTTTAAATGCCCTGGGGCTTTATTATTTAAACGACCTGATTGTCTTTATAAATATGTTTAACAGGATATATCTTAATAGCTGGCAGAATAATACAAGTCGCAACAAACACAAACTGCCCAACCCTGGATTCGACATGCACATCAACAGCCGTACTGGTACGAACTGTATTAGCTCCAATACCACTTACCGGCATCGATGCTTTCACTGTTGGTAATTGCAATTGCCTTGCTAAATTCTTAGACATAAAGTTTAGCTATGACCCACTGTCCAAAATAGCGTGACACTTTCTTGGAACTCCTCGCTTGTCCTTTACCCAAACCAACGCTGTCGACAGAAAAACATGTCCATGTCTATGATGAACCAACAACGATATTCTTGAGCTACGCTTTTTCGCTGTTTCCGCAGCATCTTCTCCGGACTTATCCTTAGAGACTGATGATTCATCTTGTCTCTCATAATGAAGCAAGGTATTGTGCCTGCCCTTGCAGACGTAACAGTTGAACTTCGATTTGCACTGATCACTCCTATGCAACGCATGAAGACAGTTGAAACATAACCTTGCTCTTCGTACAAGAGCTATACGATCTCCAACTGACAGATCCTTGAACTTAGTACAGGAATACAGCTTGTGTTTATTCGAACAGCAGGCACAATTTTCAATCACCTCGGAAGCTACTACGAGAGCACCCTTCGATGGAGCCCTGAGCGAGAATTTCTTCCCAATCGCCTCTTTTCCAGCGTTGACATCCTTAACTTGATCTTCTCTAGATGCGAGTGCTTCAGCCCCTTCTAATGCGATGCTGTGTCTTGATACAAACTCCATAAGCTCTGTGTACTTAGTTAATTCAGTACCTGTCCGACGCAGCTGCCACTCTTGACTCGATTTATCTAATTGCTCAATATATATATTCGTATGGTAATATCCAAGTAGTAACACAATATATAACAGAAATCATCATCATCTTCTTTGCAATCGACCATTAAGATCATAAATTCAAACATATATCTTGCCATTTCACTCTATCCATCGCTATGATATTCTATTCGGCCCTTGGGTTTATTATTTGTACGTCCTTCCTGACTTGGTCTTCCCATCTTAGTCGGGGTCTTCCTAAGGGTCTCTTTCCTTGGGGAGTCCCACATTGAACCAATCGTATTAGAGTTCCTTCTTTTCTCCATGCATGCATGAGGGTGCGATACAGTTGTATCTTGAGGTTCTTCGATATCGTTTCTCGTTTCTGGAGATAACTTCTGCCGAGTCTGCTGAGGCAACACTTAATTCTGGGGAGTATTATTTTCTCCGTCTATCTGAGACAAAGATACCTCTCTCATTTGCATCGAACAGTTATGATAGGTTATTATTCGTGATCCAATTATGGAGAAACTCTCCATTCGCATCATTCTGTTCATATCCCCAGTCCTGATGGTGGCTATTGAAATCTCCAATATATAAACAAGGGTGGTTTAAAACAGGTAATCCTGAGGGTAACCATGTCGACCCTGGTGGTTTATAAATATTGGTTATATTTAAGTTTGCCACTTTAATGGTAATAATATGAATGCTATCTTTTGTAATGATAGAGTTTAAAGTATGTACATCCTTAATATCTTGTTTTACGTATGTGGCTATACCATAAGTTCTGCTATGAAGAGTTGTCACGAGTTGGAAGCCCGATATGTATCCTCTTTTCTTAAGATACTCCTCATCGATCGTATGTGTTTCTTGGAGAGTAAGTACTTCTATCTTGTTCTTATCTGCTATTTTTGATAAAACATCACATTTAGATCTAGAAATGCCTTCAATATTTAGATGACATACTTTGAGAGTATATCCGACATTTCGCGTTATATAGTCCTTATAAGGACTGTTTTCATTGTATAAGCTAGTTATACTGCTATTGGTGCTGTTACTTTTCATGTTAGTTTCTTGGAAAGGCTGTGATAATCTGAGACCTGTACAGCACCGGGTTGATGACATTGATACGGCGTAAAGAGAAATCACTACGTCATATGCAGGGTGGGCTACGTGCAAGCTGTCATCATCCACCCCAATCGCTCAATTATGATTGTAGACAGCTATGCATCCCAATGCTCTGTAGGTAAGCCTAGCATTTCTAGCGCAGCAACATGCGAGGATACATGAGAATGAAGTTCTAATAACCCTTGAGCCGATGGTGTCATGATTTTTGGACTATTAAGGATCTCTCGGATGTGCGACTGTACCACTAGATCCCTGTTGTCATATCGTGCTTGAAGTTTCTTGATAGCAATTCCATAATTCGCATATCTATTTTAAGCCGGTCCCAATAAAATTTCTTTTCAGCAACACGAGTCTCTCGTGTTCGATCCGACAACGACGGGAAACCGCGAGTGACTTGGCAAGTAAAAATAATTGCCATCTTGTCGATGAAATACCTCCTACACGACTCGTAAAGCATCACGATTGACGATTATTCGCCGAGTACACGAGTCGTGTGGGACCGGCTCTATACGTCCTATGATCGTGATAACTCGTTACTATTCGACTACCGTCGGTAATCGGTACGGTACTCGGTGTCAGTACTCAGTAATCAGTAATCAATGAGGACTATTTTGTAGTTAGTAACTTTGTACCGATGGAACGAATATGGAACGATAAATATACTCGTTCCTACTCGTTTCACCAATGTAATCGTTACATTGTACCGAATACAGCAGTAACGACCCACCACTAGTTTGTAAGGTTAGGGATAAGAAATTGAGACGAAATATCGAATACAAATATTGATATCAGTAAGTATCGAATCATTATATAAGCCTGTATTTCATAGTATCAAATAATACTGTATGAAATTGTGAAATGTCGTAATTTGTAATCTTATTATTCGATACCTACTGATATCGATACTAATGAATGTTAAAAATAATTGTATATAGGTTGCTAGAAGAAAAAATTGTCTTTTATTATTTATTTAATACATTAATTTATATAAAATACCAATAATATTGTAATTAAAATTGGCCATTATTAGCCAGTCTTTACATGCATAAAGAAAATATAAGTAACACCAATCTTCCTCTGGGATATCAGCTAACAATAATATTTTTTGAAGGCGTGAACTATTAAAACGATTTCTAGATTTGTTGCTCCAGCCTTTGAAAAGAGTCGTTCACAAGGAACAGATGTCGCAACCATGATAAAATGTAAACGCACTTGTTTATACAAAATAGGAGATACGTGTTTTATATCCTCCTATACTTTAAGAGGATCAGACTCCAGGGTTGATACTGGATTTAATAAGTAAAACGACAACTAATCGTTCATAAATGTGGTCCTTTTTTTTTGTTCATGAACCAAATATTTATGATGTGCCCAAAAATTGAAGTTTTCTGTTTTAGAATGTTCTCATTCATATTCACTAGAATAAATTATGTCCAACTTTGACAACTTTTTGCAAAGACAAAAATCTGCCATTGCACTTGAACAGGCTACTGGATCACTGGAATGTAAATTTGAATTAGATTATTTTCAATAATCTCCTATCGTACCTACACATAAATCTTAATAATTCACATTTTTGTTTTATCTTTTATACAATTTATTAGATTTACAATTTCTTGTGATAAAATTATAAATTTTAATTGTAGTTAAATCAAAACACAAAGTGTACTTTATAATATCTTTTTTTAAAATTGTAGTAAAAATTAATACCTCTCGCTTAGAGTCTTCCATACAAATTGTTACTTGCGGCGACTGAGTTTTTGATGAGTAAGGTTCTGGAAATGTAGGAAATGGCGATACAGAACTACAGAAAATATATAAACATCAGTGTTTGATAGAGTTGTGTAACATTACTTATAACAGAATCAGTCATTTTAAAAACAACATAAGTCATAAATAAGGCGCGGATTACCATCAGGGCCGCTTCCCTTGCCAGGGGGAAGTCTTTTGCAGGCTTGGGCCAATTCGGCCAGGGTGAAGTCTACAACGATTTTGTTTTCTGCGGTTGCTGATGGGCGAGGCTTGAGTGCCCAGTCCGTCACTGGAAGGTTCGGGAAGAGGTGATCGGCAATTACCGACTCCATGCCGTGAACTTCAATTCCTGGACGTCGACGACCGATGCGTTTGGTGACGACTTTGTAGGGAAGACCCCATGGGTTGGAACCAACGGATCTGCAGGGCACTGTTGCTAGGTGTGAAGTTAATGCGTCTACATTGAGCCGTCTGTAGCCTACGCCCATACCCTGAGGCGTTCCGGGGGATCGTCCTGATCAGGAGCCCGTGCTAACCGGAACTGGATATATCTGTGATCACTCGCCGATTCGACTTCGTCCATAACTTTCCAATGTGTGGTGGCGAGGAGAGGTCAGCAGCGGTGGAACGTGACGTCGATTACCGTCTCGGCATTTATTCTTTGGTACGTAGGCTTGGTGTCGACGTTGCCGACCATCAGGTCCAAGCTGGCAGCTGGATCAGCTAATTGGTCACTTCTAGCATCTTTCCGCGCTGAGCCCCACTCCTGACTCCAGTTCTGTTCAAGAACTGGGAGAATTTGGGCACCAGTAGCAGTGGAAGTCTGTTGGAGCAAGCTCTGTGCTGTGGAACTCCGTTGAAGGTTAATCTGCAGGCATTGAATCATTGCAGCGTACTTACTCCATCTCCACTGACTCCCTGCCGAGACTGCATTCGTGGATTGTGCTCGGCTGATTTCTTGATTGCCTCCTTCCTGGCTTTGCACATACCTGAGCCTGGCTTATGCTCGTAGCACACAAAGCCAGCTCTCACACGCTACAAGTCTTTGTCTGCCAAACATTGTTCAAGCCCGTGTCCTAGTTCTCCACATCGTTTGCAGTTGGGCGATAGGTTGGGCCCAGTACAATCACTACTCCGGTGTCCAAATCTGTGGCATCGGAAGCACTTTTTGGGTTCAGGCCGCCTAGGGTGAACGCGGCACATTGTCCATCCAATCGGTACGCGGATTACTATAGAGGCAGCGGCTGTAGTCATTCTGGCAGTAACGATTTGCTGGCCAGACCTAGTGGGCCAGAGACCAGTAATCTGCACAGCCTGTCGTTCAAAAATGGCAGCTTGGTCGTCTTCGGATCCTGGTATTGCCGCCTGCAATGCCGAAAAGACCTCGCCCTCGGTTGTCACTGCGTCAAGGCGCGTCCCCCAGATTCGGCCATCAACTTAAATATAGTCAATAACATTTAATGAGACGGTTACGAAACCTAATTAAGTGTTAGCGCCACCGGGAATCTTATCGCGTTATCGTAACCACCCTCCAACGAGCGTACGTCGGTGATCGTTGTAACCATTGTTCGTTGTTCCTTGTTAGCTGTGCAGTCTTCGTGTGGTTGTTAATCGGACGCGCGTATTAGTATACGCTTATATTTTATCCGCTTTCCGTTATTTTCGGTCGTTCACGTATGTGCCCTTACCGAGCCAATTGAACGTTTTCTGTTTATTCCCGACCTAGTTTATTACCGGATCCGTGTACTCGTCATTCTTGATTGCGTCCGCCTGGCGGTGACATTTCGTGATGTCGTACCGAGCTCCGGAAGTTCCTCCGCTAGACCCTGAAGTCTCGGATTCGTCGTGCCCCATTTACTGGTGGATCCCTATGGTGAGTTACCGGTGACACCTGTGACGTCATCCGCATTCGCGTATTTTATCAGGCAAGTCACTTTTATTTGTATACATTAGTATTATCGGGTCATTGAACCCAATCCATATTAATTTTGTTCACGTTTACCGTTATCGGATATCCTTGTTTATATTGTGTATTATTATTGAATTATAAATTGTAGCGGGCCCATTATCTCTTATAATTACACTTATAATTATATTATAATTCATTATTTTGTTCAATTGTTTATATTCGTTACCAACTCGTACGTACTATTTAGAATTCGGTCATCCGTCTCTCATCTTCATCACCTACACGCGAGTCCAAGGCAACCAACTACCTCACATGGTTTAGTTCTGCCATAGGTGCTAACAGGCCCCATTTTTTCAACATTATTGTGAAATAAACAATTAAAAATTGGGTTGACAATAAAAAAAAAAATATAAATTAAAATAGTAATATAAATTAAGAAAATACAAATTATGTGATAAAAAAAGAAAAAGTTAAAATAATGCAGTACAAATAAATAACTACTAATTTAACATTTTCATCTACAGAGTACCTAACAAACAATACTAGAGTTGAACGAGTATCATTTTTGAATGTCGAGTCGAGTTTCAATTATTTGAAGTCGAGTCGAGCTCAAATGTCGAGTACTTGAAAAAGTTCGAGTACTAAAAAAAAAAGTCGAGTACTCGATAATTGCCGAGTCGAGTAAAGTTCAAATAT